CACACAGCCCCTCCACACACACAGACCTCGGCCCCCCCCCGGGTGGGGGGGGGACCCCCGGACCCCTGCCCCGCTTTGGTGAGCCCCAAGAGTTTCCTTCCCCAGAGGGGTGGGAACTGCCCTGTGGACACTTCCTCCCCAGGGAGGGTGGCGGGGGGGTTGATCCCGCGCACACTCACAGAACAGTACGGGGGGCAGGTCCTGGACACAGGCGTTAGGGATGTGAAGAGGCCCCCCCCCGGGTGGGGGGGGGACCCCCGGACCCCTGCCCCGCTTTGGTGAGCCCCAAGAGTTTCCTTCCCCAGAGGGGTGGGAACTGCCCTGTGGACACTTCCTCCCCAGGGAGGGTGGCGGGGGGGTTGATCCCGCGCACACTCACAGAACAGTACGGGGGGCAGGTCCTGGACACAGGCGTTAGGGATGTGAAGAGTTGACTGGTTACCCAGGAAGCAATTTACTTTACCATCATGCTACCAGGACAACCGGTTAATTGGTGGCCCGGAACGGCCTGGTTGGAGCAGCCCCTTGCCCATGGTGTGCCCTGCCCGGCGGTTGAAGCAGCCCCTGCCATGCAATCCTGGATAAAAGGGATACAGTTTAATCAGTTAATTTTTTAAAGGGGATTTTACATCCCTAATAGATACCCCCTTGCGGAGGTGTGATGGTTGAGGATGAGGCTTTCCCCTCTCGTGACTGAGCATTGCCCTGTACATCCCCTCACATCCAATATCTCTTAGGGTTGTTGGCGTCACCATGTATGATGTAGTTGTGCCACAGATGGGATGCTGACAGTGCTAGTGTTGCATGTGGTGAGATTAGTGTAAATATGAAGGATAATGAAGTCCTTTTTGATCCAGTTTGATGAGGTGACATAGCAACACTCCATTACACTATCATGCAGGAGCCTAGCCTATTGGCCAAGCTTCCATGAGTATCAGTCTGATAACTTCAGTGTTTCTCTGATCCCATCCCTCCAACACTGTTACCTGGGCTTCACATGTTTGCTTTATCTCTCATCTAAACTTGATGCCATTCTGCTCCAGTGGCCATCCTACTGTGCCTCTCAAATTATAATTGTCACTTTAGTCATACTGTATCATGCCTAACAAAACAGGTTTTCTTGTCTTTGTTTTGTCAGGCATTACATATACTTGTGTAGCCAAGAGGGGGGGAACCATAAACTACTACTGACACAAAAAAGGGGGCATGCTGAAATAGGTTTGAGACCCATTCTCTATTCGCTGCCATTTTAGTATGACGTGACTTGAATACCAGATTGCTGGCCCTACGTAAGAATATGGTCCCCAGTCCTCCAAGCTGCTTTATGTGGGCAGACTCCCTGGGCCCACTCAGAGCAGTTTGCAGGCATCAGTGACATAGCATCTTTTTTTTCTTTTTTTTTTTTTTAAGAGAAATACATATGGATGTTTCTGTTGGCACAGATATGTGCTTAAAGCAGAGAATGCAGCTAGCAGTTTGAATGTGTGTGTCATCCACTGGAATTGAAAGCCTTTCCTTGCAATATGTTCCTTATTGTATGCATAAAATTGTTTCCTGTTTGAACAAATTCCACTTGAGTAGAAGATCAGTGCTATGAGAATGAGTGCATTCTGCATCTTGACGGTAGTTCTTAGTGTTGTGCTAAATCTGATATGAGAGGAAAGAGAAAATATGTCTGGAATAAATAGAGAAGTGGAAATTGAATTTAGCCACCTACACTCCATTGTTTATGCTTGGTAAACGATGTGAATCTATAGTAGGCCTTGCACGAAACAGGCCAATCATAAAAACATAAGAGCTGCCATACCAGGTCAGACCATGATCCATAACCCTGTTGTTTTAGAATAGTTTCTCCAATTTGTGGAAATAAATAATTAGCTTCTCTCTTTTATGGTCTCATTGACTTTTCTGTTTTGAGATCTTCATCCAGCTTTTGTTAAAACTCCTGGAACTACTATTTAGCACTTTAAGTGTGCTAATCGCTAATTACTTTCTATGAATGGCTATTAGCATGTTTCTAAATAGTTTCAGGATTAAATGAGACTCTTGGCTTCAGGCCAGATTTTTCAAAAGTGCTTTTCTGAAAAATCTGGCCACTTTATTAAGGTGCCAAAATGGGAGTTAGGCTTTTAAGTTTTGTTGGTTTTTCCATGACAGGCAATTAACATGTGATGTTGTTAACAGCTGTTTGCAGAAAGAAGAAAGATGGAAAGTAATGCAGTTTTGCTAGAGTCAAAGTCCTCGCCAATAAACCTTCTGAACGAAATGCACCAGCTGCGTCTTCTGGGCCATTTTTGTGATGTAACGGTTAGTGTGGAATATCAAGGAGTCAGGGGAGAGTTTGTTGCTCACAAAGCTGTATTGGCAGCAACAAGCAAGTTTTTCAAGGATGTGTTTCTTAATGAAAAGAGCATGGATGGCCTAAGGACAAATGTGTTCTTGAATGAGGTCCAGGTAGCTGATTTTGCTTCATTTCTGGAGTTTGTCTACACTGCCAAGGTAGAAGTGGAGGAAGACCGAGTGCAACGTATGCTGGACATAGCTGAAAAGCTTAAGTGCTTGGACCTGTCTGAAACCTGTTTTCAGCTGAAGAAGCAGATGCTTGAATCAGTGTTGTTGGAGCTGCAAAATTTCTCTGAAGCACAAGATGCTGAAGAGGACAGTGGGACCCAATCAGATGCTTTACTTGAGTTGAAAACAACTGTTGTGGCAGAAGGTGACTGTGTAGACTATCCCCCTGATTCTCCCAGTTCCCCCATGGGAAGACCCAGCTATGGCATGTCTCCTGAGAGGCCAGCTTCCAAATCAAAGGAGAAGGTCGACAAGAAAAAAGAAACCATGAAGCCTCCCTATGCCAAAATCAGAAGAGCCAGTGGGAGGCTGGCTGGGAGGAAAGTATTTGTAGAAATCCCCAAGAAGAAGTACACAAGGCGGTTGAGAGAGCAACAGAAGGATGCAGAGGAAGCTACTGAAGAGAACAAGTTCCTGATAGACCAAAGCATGCTTACTGTGGAGAAAGAAGAGGGCCAAGAAGAGAACAGCGTGAAGCCTGAGAATGAAGAGTGGAATGGCATCTTTGAATCAGAAGAAAGCTTTAAAAAACTGGAGGAGGAGAAGAAGAAACGAGGTGGCAACTTCAAATGCAGCACCTGCAAGAAGGAATTTCTGTATGAGAAGAGCTTCCTCAAGCACATAAAGCACAGTCACGGCATCGCAGCTGAAATCATTTACCGGTGTGAAACATGCAGTCAGACCTTTGCCAACCGGTGCAATTTAAAAAGCCACCAACGCCACGTCCACACCAGTGAGCGCCACTTCCCTTGTGAACTCTGTGGTAAGAAGTTCAAGAGGAAGAAGGACGTCAAGAGGCACATTCTCCAGGTTCATGAGGGTGGTGGGGAGCGTCATCAGTGCCAACAGTGTGGAAAGGGTTTGAGCTCCAAAACTGCCTTGAGGCTTCATGAAAGGACGCATACAGGCGACAAGCCTTATGGGTGCACAGAGTGTGAGGCTAAATTTTCTCAGCCTTCTGCACTTAAAACACACATGAGGTATGAACAGACTTAACTGGCCTTGCTAGATTCTGGTGGGAAAGGTAAAATCCACTGAAAGTCGTCCTGAACCCTCAAGTAGAGTGGAATTTAAAAGCAGAGTGACTGGGAGGTTTCAATAGATCCCTTTTCAGAGTGTTTTCTTTCTGGTTAGGGGAGCAGCATCATTTAATCTAAGCCCAAGATATAGGTTTAGGCCCTAATTCAGCAAACACTTAAACACATAATTTTACTCATGTGAGTACAGTAAAATTCCAATAGTCCGGCATCCAATAGTCCGGCACTCCTGATAGTCCGGCATCAAAATGGCAAGAGCCTAGTGAGTGAGCTTCGGCAAAAAATGAGTCACAAGGTAGCAGCAGCAGCAGCTGAACTGAGCAAAAAGGGTAAAAAAGGTTTAAAAAAACTAAAACATTATAGTATACTGTATACAGTATGTACAATAAAAAGGGCTAGGAACACTTTATATATATGTATATATATAATCAGTTTATAGTACCTCCTGATAGTCCGGCATATCTGATAATCCGGCACCACCTAGGTCCCATAGGTTCCAGATTATCGGAAGTCTACTGTAGTTGCATTGAAATCAGTGGGACTGCTCTCAGAAGTGAAACTACACACTTGCTCGAGTGTTTTCAGGTTTGGGGCCTTAGTTTTTTAATTGGCTTAAGAAATGCTAAAATGAATGGTAAAGTGTTATGCAGCGAGAATGAACCTCTTTTTAAAAAAATAAGTAAATATTCCCTGTGGTGGATGTGACCCAAATAAAGCAGCATCAGCTTGGTGTGGGGGGAAAAAAACCAAGAAGAAATGTAATAGAAACAAACCAGTCTGGTGTCACTGTTCAAGGAGAACTCCATGCAGACACTATAGGAAGAAAGCTAAATATTTATATAGAGCTTAGAAAATGAGCACATAGCGCCTTTACAAATGGGGCACATGAAGTCCATGGGAGTTGCATGTCTGGGAGGGCAAATTTGTCTCATTTGGGGATTGAGGCTGCAAGGTGCTGAGTTGCTGTGTCCCTGATGCTTAAGTGTGTGTATAAAGCAGAGAGAATTACTTGTTCTTAAACTTAAGTATACGTGTAAATGTTCTGTAGGATTGGGGCCTTGCAGAATCAGCCCCTCACTAACCCTCCGAGCACACTGAGGGAGGGTAAGTGTGGGGAACATTCCCCCAGATGTCTTTTTCAGAGCCGGACCTAGAACTCTGGAGTATGCTGACCTCACTAGGCCACTCTCTCCTCTGAGGTATGAAGTTCATTAGATCTTAGTCTCTTAATCAAAGTGTACTTACTACATACAGACAGGATGCTTTCTGTCATCATAGTCCCATTGAAATCATTGAGATTTCACAAGATAACAAACACTATGCCTCGTAGGAAGTATTAGCAGGATTGGGTCCTACAATGTTGTTACCAACGAGGGATGTTAAATTTCGATTAATCAATTAATCTAGTAGTTGATGGAATTTCCATTGACTACTCGATTAGTCGATAAGGGGGGCGCTCACTAACCCGCTGTGCCTCTCCCTCTGAAATGTACAGGAGCTGCCCACAGCTCTTGTATATTTCGGGTTCCCTCTGCCTCTCTCCTTTTGAAAAGTACAGGAGCTGCCTGCAGCTCTTGTATATTTCACAGGGAGAGACTCTGGGCTTTCTCTGCCTTTGAAAGGGACAGAAGAACTGCTGCTTCTCTCTCTTCTCTCTTTTGAAATGTACAAGAGCTGTGGGCAGCTCCTGTACATTTCAAAGGGAGAGAGGTATCAGGGCCAGAGAGGTGGTTTCCCCTCTGTGCCTCTTCCTTTGAAATGTACAAGAGCTGCAGACAGGAGAGGAGCAGCAGTGGGATCAGCGTGAGCAGGACTCTTCCCTGCTCGTGCTGTTTCCCTGCTGCCCCCTGTCTCCCCTTTCCCCTGCGGAAACATTGCTGGGCTGGGGGGGACCGGCTTTTAAGCCAGCTCCCCCCAGCACTGACTTGTGCTCCCTCCTCCTTGCTGCCTCTTTTTGATAGAAGCTGCATGGGGAGCGGAGGGGGGAGCAACTAGTCGCGTTCCTACTCAAACTACCTAATAAGCATTTGCGTATCGGGTAGTCGACTAGTCGCTTACATCCCTATTACCAACACAAATATGGAACTTTTTCAGTATCACCCTCTAAGTGTAGTGACCCCTGAAAGTCATTCAATGTTCAGGAAGATAAATGAGATTGCCCCTCTACCTTGGACAAATATGAATAGACAGTAAGGATGCTCTCTGTGAGGATTGTATTGTTTAAGCCTTGACAAGGTGCTCAGCATTGTATGTGTTATGCATATCAAGACAGTCCCTGTCCCAAGAGCTTATAGTCTAGAACAGTGTTTCCCAATTTAATTTGGCCATGGAACCCTTTTCATCTTAAAAGAATTTCAAGGAACCCTTAGGGTTGCCATAGTAACTTGTCAAGCAAAAAAAATATAAAAAAGCCCCACTGGAATTGGTTGAGTAAGTGGGTTCCGCGGAGTACCAGTTGGGAAACACTGCTCTAGAAGACAGACCTAGAAAGACAAGATGCTTGGAAGACCCAGAGGAAGAAGCTACTTTTAATGAAACAAATTTTTTTTCACTTTAATTTTCACATATAATCTCCCCTGCTAATATTTAACTATGAGAACTGCTCATCTGGTATTTTTGTTCCTGCAGAGCTATTCAAAGAAGTCAAGTAAATCAAGTGTGAAGTTCATATGTAGGCAGGAAGTTAAAGGTAGATGCAGCTGAAATGCAGTTGTAGACCTGATCTTCCAAACTGCTCTGCATGGGCACAGGACTCCACCATGGAGATCTCGTTGCAGAACTGAAGCTATAATAAGGAAAATGACTGGACTAAAAATGCAGTGCAGTTGTAGCCTGTCCCAGAATATTAGAAGGAGAAGGTGGTTGAGGTAAAATCTTTTACTGGACCATACTTCTGTTGGTGAGAGACAAGCTTATATAAAAATGGCATTTTCCTGTTCTGCTCCTTGTGTGTCATCAGTCTGTGTCAGCCACGTACTTTGTGGAGCTGACAACTCTGCAGAGCCGGCACAGCTAGGATACAGCGAACCAAACTGTTCTGACTCAGTAATCATCTAGAAAGAATTGTTAGCCATTGATTGCAGAAAGTTTTATTGATGTTATCTGAGTCATAAGGATTACTGTTTGACTTTCTGATTCCAGGTGGAATTTAAACAAAAACAGATTTTTAAAATTATAATTAGGTAACTATTTTTCCCTCTCTTTTAAAAAAACAGATTTTAAAATTATAATTAGGTAACTATTTTTCCCTCTCCATTTTTATATTTGAAACACGTAAACATTCAGTAGAGATTTTTAAGCTTACCAAAAGTTCTTTGGCTCAAATATTTCTGGATCCTAATCCCAAATCCTGGCTGTCAGCACAGAATCTGGGCTAGATTAGAAAACCTTTAGCACTGAACTCCACAAGACCAAATGTTTTTAGTCCCAATTCAGAGGATAACCATACAATAAAAGTGATGAATACTGTAGAAAGGAGAGAACCTTTCAGGTGAATGGTATTTTTTCATTTCAGAATCCACACTGGTGAAAAACCGTTTGTCTGTGATGAATGTGGTGCAAGATTTACACAAAATCACATGCTTATATATCATAAAAGATGTCACACAGGTAAGTTTCTTCTTTTGTTACACTCTCCCATGTAAAGGGGCATTGGGTGCAAACTTTAGAACCTAATTGCTGTGGCTAGCATAATATATTCGTGACCTTAAAAGTACGGGCAGAGGAGGGAAGAGGCCAGGATTTTGTGAGTAATTGTCTTTACCCAGGGTGCCACGTTTTAGGAAACATACAAGAAGGGGTTACTTTTAATTAGCATTTTCTAAAGAAAAAACAAACACAAGACTTCAATAAAACACCAGCTGTATAAATAATTGCAGCCATCTGGACGCTGAACAGAGTGGGAGCTACAGTATGAAGCACAAGTACATTTTTGTTGCGTATGCTGCTTTTCTGCATTGGAGTGAGACCATTTTTGAGAGCGGTGGGGGCGGGAAATGCTTCACCCTTAACGTTTTCAGAGTTTACTGCTGTAAAAACAATTAAAATATGCCTTTATCAAAAATATTCTTCACAGGTTTACTGCCATTTAGTGTCGGCCTGCAGTATCATTTAAAAAGGGACTCTGAAGCCCATAATAAACCCAGTTATTTGACTGAATGATAGTAAAAGGCCCTTTTGTGTTTATTAAGGGCTCATTCATGAGACACCTTTACACATTCTGCATTTTGCTCCTTTATTCCCCTGCATGGGCTGCCCACATCAGTGCTCTCTGATGGTGGGAGGGCAGTGGATAGAAGTGGACAAAACCTATTAAAGGAATTGGAAGTTTCCCATTGGCTTCAGTGGGCCAACTGGGGGGCTGATTTGGAAAGTCAGTCCCATTGTCAATAACTATAAAAGCAAAATCTGGACAGGCATTGCGGGTAAACATGCAACAATTAACCTAAGAAACTTAATGTTCAAAGTGGCTTATTTTACTCTGGTATTGCCTGCTTCATACACTTACAGTTTAAATCAAATATGCTGGATTGACGTTGTACCCACAAGGTTTATGTCATGTCTGGGGAATTTCCTCTTTTCCTTTTGCATTTCTTGTGGCAAAAATTTGCCAATGTAGCAAAAATCTCTCTGTCCCCCGTGCTCATGGACTCTTCTGCCTGGCAGAAAGTGTAAAACTAGTGCCATGTTAACACAGGGAAACTTGCCTTATGCAATACTCAAACATCAGCTACTTATTGTAGTGGCCTTCTAATAAAGGTGAGCAGGACTGTGTTCAGAATAGGCCTAAGCCAAAGGCCTCCAATAACTCCCTCTAACTAAAGACTGCAGTGGGCTTTTCCTCAAGGCCTATGCATGCAGGTATTCTGGTGTGCAGTGAGAGGGGAGGTTACGTTCTGAGAGGGGTACCTCGTGCAGCTTTCTCAAACAGGCATGCTCTGTACCTGATTACACAGCTTGTGCTCCCGAGCTAGGCCCATTGGAATCCCTTTTAACATAGACATGCATTTAGTTTGTATAGAATAGCTCTGTGTTTGAATATGATGCCTAATAACATTCTAAAACACCTTCTTTTTTTCCTTCTCCAATTCACTCTGGCTGTAGGAGAAAGGCCTTTTATGTGTGAAACCTGTGGGAAGAGCTTTGCCTCTAAGGAGTACTTGAAGCACCATAATAGAATACATACTGGATCCAAGCCGTTTAAATGTGAAGTTTGCTTCAGAACATTTGCACAGAGGAATTCGCTTTACCAGCATATTAAAGTTCACACGGGTAGGAAAGACATTGATATGGCTTCCACCATAACATCAACTGTATCCATATCCGCCTCAGTTCTATTCCTGCTTAAATCTTCATCCACGTCTTATCTCCTCTCTTTTGTCTGTTGGAGTGTCTTTCTGAAGTCCTTCGCTTTCAGCACTGCAGCATAGTGCAGATGTCTCTGTCCAGCTTTGCTCATGTACGAAGTGCAGCGTAGTTGTTCCATCTCCACAGCAAGAGCCAGCTTAATATTGTCCATAGTTATAAAATTCTCCCTAGATTATCTTCAGCTATCTCAAAGACGCTGTCTACTTTCCTCCCCTCCACTTGTCTAGTGCTGGTCTCTTTGTGTCCCTGTACACTATCCTGCCATTGATGCTTCATCCCTATCTTGCCTGCTACCTGAGATACCAGGCTTGTATCTTCTACCTCATCACATGCACATCTTTTTTTCATATCTTCCAAAACCCTTTTCTTTTCCCGTGCTGTGTTTTAACCCTGTGGCTGTATCTCAGAATGCTTTACTGGGGTAAATAATGCATCATGGATGGAAAATGCTTTAGACTAAAAGTGCATTTTACTTCTGAGTAGTATTGTGATCTGCTGTGGTAGATTTAAAGAGAGAAACCAGATGGTGGGATAAATCCCAGAATTCCTGCCCTAGTAAAATATTTTATACGGGTGAGTATGAAAACTCATGTACTTTAGACTGAAAGCTCAGTTGATGTCAGTGGTCCAATAGAGCTAAACTGGTTCACAGTAGCAAAGGATCTGCCTGTAAACCATAGACATGGTTTGTTTACTTACCTTAGATTTGTCGAGATAATTTTACGCAAACCTAAAATTCAGGGAAAGGTATTTTTATGCTTTCTGAAAGTGCCTGTACTTGCCTAATCAAATAACTATGGTGCGAGTGCCCCTATGAGATTACCAAAGGAGCAGCATGCAGGGTACAGCTGAGAGGTCAGTCTAACCCTGTGCTCTGATTTCAGGCGAACGGCCCTATTGTTGTGATCAGTGTGGCAAGCAGTTCACACAGCTCAATGCCTTGCAGCGCCACCATCGAATACACACCGGGGAGAAGCCATTCATGTGCAATGCGTGCGGGAGAACGTTCACGGATAAATCTACCCTGCGGCGGCACACTTCAGTAAGGATGGAGCCTCGCTGCACGCTCCCGTTATTTCCAGTGGGCCTTATCTTGCATTTCAGACATGCCCATGCACAATGGACCCGCCCTAGAAAAGGGGCTGTCGTCTTCCAAATTTCTGAGTGCACGCATTGTCCCATTCAGGCCAACAGCTTTCCCAGGTTACAGACAAACTGATCTCACAGCAATCGCACACGGTGGGAGGGACAGTTGTTTTTCACTGACTCGCTATGCGATCTTGGCACTGCCATGTCCCTGCAAAATGGAAGTGAGATGGCCCATCAGGGACCTGATTGGAGAACGCTGTTTCTCTACCTGCCCCTGGAACAAGCTACAGCAGCAATGGGGCTGCTGTTTTCCGCACAAGCGGACAATAGCTCAGGCCTGTACTCCCTGTCTCCAGACGCTTGCCATAGAAGTACACTTTGCTGACTCTGTGCCTGTGTGGGAATCCCCATGTAGGAGGTTATAGGAAGTCCCTCCCCCCTTTGCTGCTGCCTGAGCAGTATAAAAGCTGAGGAGCAGGGCACAGAATCTGCCCCGTTACCTTTAAACATTTTAGATCCTTGACTGGAAGATTCTGTAGAAATACCGAGTGTTGTCATTCTAAACAGCAAGTGCTGAAACTGTGTATTGTGTTTGGTTTTAGATACATGATAAGAATACACCCTGGAAGTCTTTCCTGGTTATTGTTGAAGGCGTTTCTAAGAACGATGAAGGTCACAAGACAGAGCTTCCCGATGAAGAGTATCACGTGTCACCAAAAATCTCAGAGAAGTTGCTGTCTTTTTCTGAAAACGGCCACTATCAAACCTTGACTGCTGTCCCGGGGGGTGTGACTGCACTGCATGACGGCAGCTCGACCACCGTGACAGACTGCAAATCAGATGGGACGGTGGGAACCCAGGAAGCCCTCATAGCTACCACCTTAAGTGAGCTTACAGTACTCCACACACAGACAGATGCTATTCAGCCGCAGCTTCATGCTCTGGTGAATATGGAATGATTTGGTATTGTTCTCCAAGACTGTACCTCTAATAACTTCGGATTTGGCTAGTAACCTAGTGATGTAATTAGGAGACAGCATAGACCCAAAAGGAAGAGGGGCAAGTTGTGGACAACCTCTACGACATTTATCTCCCCCCATAAAACATCACAAATCGGTGATCTTCAGTTTGCATAGTCTAGCTGTAGCTCCTTTTCCAGCTGATAGTTATTATTCTACTTTATTAGTTTGATTTTTCTGTACCCTTTGTTATGAAAGTGTGAAATAATACAATCATTTCAGAGAGCAGTTATCCTCAAGCAGAGCATATGAAGATCTGCCATTGTTTTAATCTCTGGAAATCTGTCCAGGCAGTCTCCTCTTCGCTACCCTCCTACAAAGGTGTATGGTAAGCCTTTCTTCCTTTGGTTTGGATGGCATAAGTGCAGTTCCTTTAGAAAGGAGGGTGTGTGGGTTTTTTTGTTTTGTTTCATTTCCAATTTGATTCCACAACACGTGAACACAAATATTGTGGTGTTTCCGGGCCTAACAGTTAAATGGTTACATTTTCCTAGTAAAAGGCCATATGTAAAAAACCCAAACTTTTTAAATTTCATTTCAGGAAGTGTTTTAAATGTGGCTTTGCCAAAAATTCAAATAGAATGATTTTAGCTTTTGGAAAAACTAATGAGAGCAAGGTTTGGACATTCCGATAGTTCTTATTTTTCCATATAAAAAATGTGGAAATTGTAGGCTGTGGGTTTGGGTGTTGGAAGCAGACTGTGCTCTTCTAAAATAGCTCAGGTACTGTTAACTCATTCCAGTGAGTGTCAGTTGTGAATTAGCAGGATAACTACTCTAGTGATTAACATAACTCACTAAAAAGTAAAGGTGTAAATTACTGCTTCATTATCACCAACTTTTGCACTAGCTTTGCACTCAATCTCTGATCTTGCAACTGGCTCTACTGGTCCCTATTAATTAATGTGGTTCTTGATGGATTCATTTGTGGGATTAGGGGTCTTGGTGTGCAGGAGGTCAGTGGAATCCATTAAGACAATTCTGGTAATTTCAGGCTCCGAATTTTACTTTGACATTTTTTTTACAAAACTTGTGAAGGAAGAACATTGTTGCTGTTATTTCAATAAGCCTTTTCTAAGAGTCAGTGTTGGAAATGCAACCACTGCAGCTTTGGGCTAGTGCTTGAAGGTGCTCAAACTGAGGCAAATGCCAAAAATAAATGACATCTGTGCTGAAGTTTATATTTTAAAAACATTTGTTTTCCTATTACAATGGTATTTAAAGTGAAAAAATTAATAGGAAGATACTGACAATGTGCCTTTTAAAGGGCCAGGAAGGTTGTGCTTGCTCCAAAATCCATTAAGGTGCAATAGGAGAGTTCCCATGGACTTCAGTGGACTTTTGGAGAGGCTTTTATGGGTTGGATGCTGCAAGCTATGCTTCCATGAATAATCTGATTGGTCCTTCTTATGGGTGTTGTGTTAAAAGAGATTGCAGGATCAGACCTTTCTTGGAATCTCCTATAGAAATCTAGTCAAGGTGTCAATTTTTGTCCTAATCCTTTTTACAATGAGACTAAGTTCCCTTTACTGCCTACAACAAAGTGGGATGTCTCTGTACAACTAATTTTTTTTCCATTGCAAGGGCTCACTTTCTGCGTTATTCTCAGTGAGGGAAAATGTAGACCTTAACTTATTTTGTGAGCACCTTCCATGTGTGGATGGATTTAACTGAGCAGAGGCTTGTTGTCACAATGGAAAATGCCTGAACAGTGGAGCAGGATTAGCCCCATAGTTTAGTTAGAAGCATTCGAAGATGATACTTTCAACAATTAAAACAGCTTCATCCCACTTGCCTTTTTTTAAAACTCAGAGGCAAAGCAGTTGCCTAGAAAAGGCACAACCCATTTTAAAGAGCTTTTATGAGCATTGGTCAAGTATCTTATTACTAATAGGGAGATTAACTGTTCCAAAATCTTAGCAGTCAATTTACAGCTGCTGAGGCTCTGCCTTTCTGCTGAAGGCTTCGTAACTTGGTATTTTCTTCACAACCAGTGTGAGACAAGCTTGCTGGACGTTAAGGCTTCGTAACTTGGTATTTTCTTCAGAACCAGTGTGAGACAAGCTTGCTGGACGTTAAGCACAATCAAGTTTTGTGGCCCATTCTTAAAAGACTCACTGGTAGGCAAAGCAATAAAAATCACCTCTGGTCTTACAGTTCTGTTGTGGGTTTTTTAACCTTAAATGAGCTTCTGATGTTACCTTTGGCCCCTAGCTTGATCCAGGAAAAAGGATTAAAAAGAGCTTTCTAAGAAGTTATATTTGGCATATTTATTCAAAAATTGTGTTCATTTTGAGTGTTGAAGTTCACATGATTCCTAATGACCAATGTACAGTGTTTGTAGATATATTTAAATCCTGAGTATTAGTACCTGTAGACAGGGAAGAATTTTGTACTCCATGAATGTATCTGAGTGAGTAACCTGTATGAACTATTAAATCCTATTAAAATATTGAACGCGTACTTCCCTTTTTGTAAACGGCTTGCTTGAAGTACCAGATGGCCACCTCCCCCAGTGGGAATGATGCATGATACATTGCAGGGATCTTATGATTTTGAGGTAATTATAATAGCAGGCCCAGTGGAAACACAGCCATGATTCTACAGAAGTTGCTCCTGATTATTTCATGACTTAAGCCTAATCATTCCACTGTTCAGTACTCTGTTTTGCTTACATATGGCTTGATTATTTCTGCAATCATTGTAATGTTATAATATGCATCAGAAAATTCTACTAGATTCATTTTCACACATGAACAAATCCTATTGTAGCCCTACAAGAACTTCAGTTGTGCATGCAGTATTGAGTACTAAGGGACATGAGGCCCTCCCTTCTTGGTTAACTGGTCAATCCTGGCTAGTCCGTGTGGACAGTATTTCCCATAAGCCTGAATCAGCCCTAGCATGGGTGAAAGGAACCTGACAGCCTATCTAGGCAAAATTCAGTAGGACCAACTTGAAGGATTTCCTAAAAGTGAAATCTATCCACTACAACAGTGGTCCCCAACCTTTTGGGGCACCCGGGGGCAGGGCCACAGACGGTGCTGCTCCTGTTCTGCATGCCTGGAGGCGGGGCTGCCCATATGCCGCGCACCTGGGGCTGGCACTGCCCCTGTGCTGTGCACTCGGGGGCGGGGCCGGCCCCGATCACTCAGCGGGTGCACAGAAATGGCCCGGCAGATGCCACGGCACTCGCGGGCACCACGTTGGGGACCACTGCACTACAAGCTACTCTGGGGCTCATGCCCATGAAAACACACCCTGTTTGCCTATGACACATCAGCTTAGAACAGTAATTCAACAGCTGATTGTTTACGTGAGTCTGGATGAGATAAATAATCACGTAGTGTCGTGTTGGTGGCAGTAGGGAAATTCAGTGCAGAGCATTCTGAAGATTTACACATGAACCATGCAGAAGGTGGAACCACTTGCTGCAGAGCACTCGCTGACAAAAGGGTCTCTTACCATTAACACAGCTCATGGCCACTGCTAGTCTACAGACAAGAATGCTCATTACAATTGCTTCACTTTCATTTTATTACTGTAGAATTCACACAATCTGTTCCTGCTAAGGCCATTTCATTATTAGTTTTCATAGTACAGATTCTTGACCCAGGGCAAGGAAAAATAACAGCCTGACAGTTTGCTCTGATTACATGATTTGAAAACTGGTATCACAGCTTACAGCAAATTATTACATTACAGATGACATGCTACTATACAAAATCACCAAGATTTGCAGTTAGACAAGACTACTACATTAGAGTGCATTAATAACGGCTTACAGACTAGTACATCGTTCTGTTACAGCAATAATTTATGCATACTATCATAATTGTGCAAAATACTGTGTTTCAGGTCCTGGAAAAATAAACCAGCCATGGAAAGTAAAATATAACTAGTGCCGACTTGTGTATGAAGTGTTGAATGTGGCTATTGTGTGTGGTGTTACCTGTGTAGATTTTCACTAAACTTGGCTAAACTGAGTTTTGTCTGATATAAATGTTCCTCTTTGCATAAGGAAAGTTTGAAAAAACAAATGCCTTTCTACAAAACAGCTTAACATCTCATTTCTTCTTAGACCAGAGCTTTTTCAAATATATAGGACTACTCTTAAGCCTTTTCTTTTCCCCTCTGGCTTGTCTTTGTAGAGGCACACCTTAAACTGAGTCAACACAACTGTAGCATTCAGGTGTGAAAAATCCAGCCCCTGAGCAAAGCTATGCTGTTCTAACCTCAGTTAAATCAATGGGAAAATGCATCTGTAAAGCTTACATGCTAGTTCATGCCCAGGGCCATGGTTTTGTACCGACAGAAAAACCCCTTCCAGAGCTGCAAGCTGCACCCACACTACAGGAGTATGCTGGCATATCTGTTAAAGAAAAGTTGGCTTTGTACAGGAGTGTTCCCTAAAGGGAGGCCCAAGTGAGTCATTTCTAATTAGATCAGCCAAGCTAAGCAAATGTTAATCGCACAAGAAGTTGCAGCTTTTTAACACTTCCCACCCTATTGGAGTCTGTTTCTTATCAGAGCCAGCTCCTCCCATTTCCCCTATGTCTCATTGAAGCCACACATCTCCATCCAACAAACCAAGCAAGTTTTTCCTAAGAAGCTTTTTAAATTCTTGAGGGGTGAGGAAACAATTTTGTCCAATTTCAACGAATGCCAATAGTGCTGTTTATTTCAATTACAAGAAAAGCCAAACTCACTACACAGCACAGAGCTGAAAGCAGGGGTAGATCCCTTCCTGGAATCATTTACAAACACATCTAGATAACAACATGGAAGAAAGTTTAAACTGACTGATGTAAGTCAATGAACTTAAACAGCAAGTAGTCCTACGGGACAGAGACTAACAAGCTACATTTTTTTGTTAGTCTCTAAGGTGCTGCAGGACTACTTGCTGTTTTTTAAGTTTTTCAGTTACAGACTAACATGGCTGTCCCTCTGAAACATAAGTCAATGCAACCATGTTCTTTCCTGGAATTTATGATATCACTTGATATTTTCTGTAAACAAATGTGTGTGCTGTTTGCTAGGATTACTACGTACCCATACTTTTACTGTGTGTCAGGCAATATAGCCACTCAGTTCCATTTTATTAAGGAAAGCTAGAAGCACAGGAAAAAAAATAGATATTCTTAAAAATGAAAGTCAGTTAGTACCCTGTTTGGGCAGGTCTTTCCTCCACAAGAGAGCAAAAACCAACCTAGACCATAGATAGCTGCACAGTACAGGTACCAAACTATGGGATAGTAGTGTTTTCCTATTTTATGAGTATCCAATATTTAAAAGCTCAAATGACAAGAAGCATTTATGCAAAATAAAACCAGTAGCCTTTCACTACCTAAGCAGCACTGGTGATGTAAAAATTAAATCATTTCTACATCTTACTGGAATTGCACTGAAATATTAAGCCACAACACTGAAACTGCAATGGTCATGAATATCCCTCACTTTGATACATATATTTAATATAGGTAGCTTGTCTATCTCCATTGAAACTAGGCTAGGCACATACAAACAGAAATTAGGATTCACAGATGTTCTTCAAGATCATTGTATGTGATTTTTATTTTCTACATAGTTTTAAAGCAAGCCTGGGCAAGCTGTTGTCCAGCAGTGCTGAAAAGGTGTATCTTAAGCTAAGAGCAAGTCTAATTCAGTCACTACACCGCATACCATTGACACAGACTTGCCAACAGCACCAAGGTAACGAAATAGTGTTCTGGCACATACAAAAAACCTGCAGCAAAGACAATAGCAGGAACTTACGTAAATGAAAGGTTAGAAAAATATATTATTACCTGTTAAAGTCATCTTAGGGCAGGAGAGATGGTATGCACCAAAAAATAAAATGAGTGGAAAAAACATATCCAAGGGAAAAAAATAGAAGAAACTTAAATGTTATATATATTTCTTAAACAGAAAAATATATAAGCTAGGTCCTAGTTAATGAGTGTTTTGGGGAGAAGGTAATTTACATTATAAGCGGACCCCCTCCCACACACACATGAAGATTAATGTTTTTAGACCCAGATCATTATGTATTTATTCATGCACACATGTATCTGTAGAGTATGTACACAGACACACATGCATACTGTATATAAAAATCATAAGCTTTTCACTACCATCATTAAAATAGCTTTATCATTTTAAAAACAAAAATCTACATAGAGAAAGGTCCATTAAAAACATAAAACTCTAGCAATATAGCATTAGATCAGAAAATACTGTGTACTGTATGTCATATTTACAAGCATGGATCAAAGGTGTGGAAGACAATGAGCTAGGAGAGAAATGGCAGCAAAACGAAAATTAAAAATGAAAGACTTCTGGCTCATCAGCTACCAAAAAATAGATTTTTGCCACAAGCATTTCTTTCACTGATTTCAACAGTCTAGTGAATCCCGCTATTGCTCTCACATATGGAAGATCTCTTAGCAACACCTAGGGGTATCAATTCTCATCCATCCAGGTCATCAAAAAGACACCAGGATACTAACAATACACGTCATTTGGTTCATAAGCAACAAAATTAAGCTAGACATATCGTTAAGTATCCCATAATGGTCCATGGCCATTACACAAAAACAGATTATTTAGGAGTTAGGCTGCATGCCACATATACCATAAATAATTCACTTCAGGTCTCCATCACCATCTCCTTGGACTGACTTTTTGATGCGAAGCAACATAGTAGTAAGCCATTGATCCAAGCGAGATATTGAATCAAATTCCTTAACCTAAGTGGAAGGAAGTTGAACACGGTTTAACAGAGGGCAAACTGGAACATGCCATCACTACCCCAACAGTAAATTATGTGCTGCAATTCATTTGCTGGTCATTTCTGTTATTCCTTAAGCCAGTGATACACGTAGTAAAGGGCTGATCCAAAGCTCACTACAATCAGTGGGAGTTTCTAATATAAAAATCTAGGAGAGCAGGACACTGCTTCAGCGTAGAAAGCCATGGCACATTAGCACCACCTCTGAGAGAGAGGAGGAGAGAGTTTGTGGCAACCCCCTGCCCCAGTGCTCTTCCTCTCTTGCTATTGGCCTTTTCAGGGCAAGATAAAACGATCATGGAGGATACCTGTAGTTCACTCTCCTAGATCAAGCAAAACAGACCAGGATTGTTGGAAAAAAAGGGAAGAAGGAACTGGAGTGGGGAGCAGAGACCTCAAAATGCAGTGATGACCAGTAGGAGAACTGGTCATTTAAAAAAACCTCACCCAAGTCTCTATGTATTTCAGTGGAACTTAAGCGTGTGCTTAAGGGCTTTGCTGATGTGGGGCAGTTTGCTGAACAGGGACCTTTATACATTTTCAGCTGCTTTGTACTGCTGCACTAATACGAAGCACCGAGTACACGCGTGAAGACCTAGAGATGTTTAAGCTTTTAGGACCTGATCTGCTACTACTAGGGATGTTAAATTTAATCAACTAATCGAATAGTCGATGGAATTTGCATTGACTATTCAAAAAGGGCGCCTCTGCCTTTAAAATGTAGCGAGAGCCCTGCCGGCTCCTGTTACATTTCAAAGGTGGAAACACTGCAGGGAGCATAGAGTCAGCAGGGGACTGCTTGAGTCCCCCGCTGGCCCTGTGCTCCCTGCGCACTTTGCTTTTGAAATGTACAAGAGCCCTGCTCTTGCTACGTTTCGAAGGCGGAAGTGCCACCAGTTCCCCGCTGCGCCCCCGCCCCGCCCCACGGAGATGCTGCAGGGGAGAACCAGCTTTTAAGCTCCTGCTCCCCCCCAGCTGCCTCTCTCTGACAGAGGCATCAAGGGGGGGAGGGAGCGACTTATCAGATAGTGGATTAGTCACTTACTAAAATCAGGGTAGTAGCTAGGGATGTGTTACCCAGTACCGAATTATGCCTTAGATTATAAACTCTGCCAGGTCCTCAGGACAGAGACAGTAGCCTGAATTTTCACATACACTTAGGCCAGGGGTCCCCAACGTGGTACCTGTGGGTGCCATGGTGCCCGCCAGGGCATTTATGTGCGCCCGCCAACTGATCTGGGCCGGCGCATGCACAGCTCCTGCCCCAGGCGCGTGGCGTATGCAGAGCTCCTGCCCTGGGCACATGGGTGGTGCCGGCCCTGGGTGCGCAGCACATGGGCAGCCCCGCCCTCGGACGCGTGGCACGTGAGCAGCCCCGCCCCCGGATGTCCGGCACGTGAGTGGCCCCGCCCCCGGGCGCCCAGCAGCCCCGAAAGGTTGGGGACCACTGACTTAGGCCATTGCTCCAGAAGGGTAAACAGAGCAGCGTTAAGTGGGAATCGGGGTCTTTGCCTGGGTGTTTCATACAGCACTGAGGATGCTAACAGTGCAAAGAACAACAATGCCCAGGAACTCTTGTGCAAATAACTGAGCAGACAAATTAGCATGCAAAAATGGAGACTAGAGGGAGGCTTCTTTGAACTTTGGTCCGGGAATAGTGCGCCACAAATGCCTCAGGGTACGGCTTGACTACTTACGGCCTCAGTGTATGCATCACAGTTTTGGTCCTCATGAGCTTCCAGCAGCTTCTACCAGAATTAGAGGCAAGGGTTATACTTTAGTATGGGAAATGTATCACTTCCATTCCCAGCATCAGATTGTGCACATGCTAGTCTGAGTACTCCGTTACCCTGTGACAGCGGTTCTCAACCTTTCTAGCCTGGGGCCCACCCCGCCCAATGCAAACCTTTCCGCAGGCCACCAGCAAACCACCCATGACGACAAAATGCCTTCATGTCTCTCTAAATACCTTAAATAGTAAATGATTCATATTAGGCTACTGGAGCATAAAAACATAAATATGCAGTTATAACATAGGAGGGCATATCACTGGTAAGAAATGAAATATTATTAATCTAAATCAAAATCTGTAAATAGATTAAGCGCTCTAACTTTCTCATGTTAGTTTACCAAACTTCATTTTTAATCAAGTAAAATATTAATTTATGTCCAAAACAAAAGCTTTCAACATTGTCTTTATTTATAAGGGGGGGGGGGACCTTTTTGGGGGTTGGCAGCCACTGACCCACAGAAAAATCAGTCAGAAGTTATACTCTCCTCCTGCTTCTGCCCCATGGGAGAGGAAGCATAGAAGGGAGAACAGAAGTTCAGGGCTCCCCACAGGCCAGATTAACTCTTCTGGGATCTCAGGGCTAGTAGATTTTTGTGGGCCGTTCCCCCAGGCTCTGGTGTGGGGCCAAAAATGAGGAGGGGGCTGCCAGGGATAGGGATTCTGGCTGTGATTCTGGCCAATAGGAGCACTTGGGAAAGCCTCCAGGCAAGCGGTTTCCTGCACTCCCCTTTTCCCAGCCAGCAGGAAGGGGAGCAGCTGGTTCCTCCAACGAGCCAGATTCAGGGTTCAGGGTTCTCCCTCCCCCCCCCCCCCCCCACACACAAACAGCAGGAAGCTAGCACTCCAACCACGTGAGGGGGAGTGCACAGGGCTGGAGTCCCAAGCCCGCAGACTACCTGCAAGGTAGTTGGTCCATGAGGACCACACTTTGAGAACCACTGCACTATGATTTACGGATTATACCTAACACTCTTCTCCATCAACAAATGGAAAAAGATAACCAATGCGTGTGCTTCACGCAGCATGAGGAATTCCTGAACCTGTTAAATCCAGCAACGTACAGACAATGTATGGAACTATCCAATAAGCCCTTTGGATCTATTGCTATATTTGCTTATGTGTAATAAAATATGTACTTTCATTAAGATTAAGCTAGAGACAAATGATAATTATCTCACAAGTTAAACAAGTTCTGTACAATTCCAAGCCAGATATAAACTCATGTGGGCGCCCTCTAATGTACACAAATAATATGAACAGATCAACATACTATACGGTAAGAGAAAGATAGTAAAGTGCAGAGTTGTTTATTTTCTGACAAATGACTCAACTTTCAGGGTAACTATATTTAACATCAGTTCGACTTACTTTCACTAGCTTGCACTCTCTTGAATCTGTGAATGCTGGAAACATTTCTTCATACTTCTCAAGAGCAAGCTGAAACAGAGAAGTTAAAATTACTAGAAAAAGCAAGCACTGGGTTTCAGCCAAATGCAAGAGTTATTCACCTGGGGTATGTCTACACTACCCCGCTAGTTCGAACTAGCGGGGGTAATGTAGTCATCCACAGTTGCAAATGAAGCCCGGGATTTGAATTTCCCGGGCTTCATTTCCATGAAGCCGGCCGGCGCCATTTTTAAATGCCGGCTAGTTCGAACCCCGTGCCGCGCGGCTACATGCAGCACGGAGTAGCTAGTTCGGATTAGGCTTCCACGAGGAGTACAGCTAGTTCGGATTAGAAGCCTAGTCCGAACTAGCTACTCCGTGTCGCGTGTAGCCGCTAAACTAGGGAGAGAGGGAGATACACTGGAGGGCAGTCTGTAGCATACCCTATAGTAATCACTGAAAAATAAAATTAACAACATGTTTGGTATTTTCATACTGTTTTGTAACTTCCTTTCTTCATTGGGCTTTCAAATCATTGTGGTAGTTTGGATACTTGTCAATGGGATAAGGGTTTTCCATCATGTTTCTTTTCCTATTGTTTCCCCAAAAGTCAAGAGATAAATCAATGTATACATTAATTTTTTGTTAATAATTCTGGTAGACAGCAAGTTTTCAAAATGAATAAATAGTAACAAGCATTTACTAGATTTTCTTATAAATTATGCTGCAAAATCCATTAGATACTCTCCTTAAATGGACATAAAAGGGGATTTAACATAAAAGCTCTTTTAACAATAACAGTAGGTTTTAACAATTTTATGTTACAATGAAACATGATGGTTTTTATAGTCGCAGTTTCTTCCTGACAGATTAATCAAACTCCTTACATAATATAATCTAAGGATGTAAGCGACTATCCGATAAGCATAAATTTACCAGATAGTCAAGTAGTCATTTAACTAGTCGCTTCCCCTCACTTGCTGCCTCTATCAAAGTTTAAAAGCCGGTTCTCCCCAGCACTGTCTCCGCGGGGGGCAGGAGAGGCAGAGGTGTCCCTGCTGCTGTGCCTCTCCCTTTGAGATGTACAAGACCTGCCTGTGGCTCTTGTACATTTCAAAAGGAGAGGCGAAGGTACCTGGACCTAATTGTTGAATTCATTATGCTATTATATCCATAGAAAACTATTTTTCCACCAAAGCAGTTTTTGAAAGGAAAAAATGGGGGAGTTACGTATTAAATAGTATTAGTGGATATTTGGTAACACCATCTATTAAATTACTCTATTGTTTACAAAAAAAATCAAAGGCACAGATTTCTTTGTTCTAAGTAGTGATGGATGGTAGAACAAGGAGCAATGGTATCAAGTTACAGTGCGGGAGGTCTAGGTTGAATATTAGGAAAGGTTACCTAGGGAGTAACAGTGGAATGGAAAGCAGTGGAATGGGTTACCTAGGGAGGTGGTGGAATCTCCATCCGTAGAGGTTTTTAAGTCTCGGCTTGACAAAGCCCTGGCTGGGTTGATTTAGTTGGGACTGGTCCTGCTTTGGGCAGGGGGCTGGACTTCATGACCTTCTGAGGTCTCTTCCAGCCCTAGGATTCAGAGAACTTTAAAAAAAAAAGAGAGAGAGAAAGAGAGACCCCATTTCCCTTTCTTCCCTGTAAGATACTAGAAGAAACTAGAGACAACAGAGACTGCAAAGCTAAGGGAATGACTTGCACAGGAGAACAGACAGGCTTCCTCTGAAGCAGAAGCTAGGTCTGCTGTCTGTTGTTTTTTCAGCTTGAATTGTGACTTTAAAGGGTTTCAGAACCTGACCTTTATTGCAGGTGCAAATCAGGTACCTATGGCCTGATCCAACACACAGAACTATTTGGACTGACTTAGCAGGCCGTGTGGGACTGCCCCTGTCCACGGGGGGTCCGAGCTCCCCATGGTCAGGGGTTGCGCCGACATCCTGGCTGCCCTCCAACATGTGCTCTTGCCTCTGTATCAGAGGCAGCATCACGGGGGGAAGGAAAGGGGAGGGGAACTAGCTTTTAAGCTGGCTCCCCTGAGCACCAATTCCCACCTCCCCTTCCCATTACTTCTGTGGGAGGCAACAAGGGGGGGGAGGAAGGGGCAGGTGACTCTGCAGAGCCAGTACCTGCAGAGAGCTGGCTTAAAAGCCGGCTCCCCGCGTGTACCAGCTCCCGCCTGCCCACCTGACCCTCTGCGTGCAGAGGCAGCAGCACTGGGATGGGGGACAGGTGGCTCCATGGGCTCAGGTGCTTGTGAGGACCTTGCTTAAAAGCTGGCTCCTCACAGGCACCGGCTCCTGCCTCCCCTCCCCCCACCTTGCTGCCTTGGATACAGAGGCAGCGGAGGGGGAGGGGGGAAGGGGAGGTCATGTAGTCAATAGAATTAACCGATAAACCCTGGTTTACCGATTAATCATTTACACGACTATACGCCAACATCCGTCCTGCCTACAGAACAAAAAAAGCAATAGGCAGGATGGAAGTCAGCCCCCGAAAGGACGCCTGCAGTATTTTAAATCCTGTCCAAGATGGGTAATAGAAAGAGGCTCTTTGGAGAAGCTTAAATCGTGCCCTTATTATGAGATTGTGTCCACATGAAGACGGTTCTATTTTATGGCACCCGAGAGTTGATGGGCCTGATTTTAATACCTGCTTCCCTTTCTTTTGCAAATAATTGTCTGCGGAGATGAATGTGGTCATAGACACCTCTGCTTGATTTGCGGTACTGATCTCTCTACGCACCCTTGTCTGCTGCCGAAACAAACGGGGCCTCGGTTGCTGGCAAGAGTAAAAAGGGAATCTGCTTTGAGAAACAGGCCCCAGCTCAGCAACCATTCGTACAAAAATTAGGAAGTCAGTTGTTCTGAGAGAGTAGGAATGTACGGTTAGAATGGCAGATCCTATGGCAGAGGGCCCAGTTCCTAGCTGCATCACAACCCTGGTTTCCAGCAGTCCCGGCTGCACCCCAGCACCAGTTCTCAGCCGCCCCGGTTCCTGCTACAGTCCCGGCTATGCCTCAGTAGCCCTGACCCCGGCCAAGTGCCTGCCGCAGCAACAGTAAGACCCTACCGCTACTAATGGCTAACCGGTTAAAATGATGTAATTTTAATCGTTGAACTGTTTAAACAGTTTTGACCCATATTTGCATCCCTCCTGCATATCAACCGAAAATTTGTATTTCACACCCTCGCTGCAGAAAGGCAGGATCAGTCAGTCACATTAGCATTACTTCATGTTGCAAAGTTTCATCTAGATACAGCCTAGAAAAATAGAGCAGAGGTCACTAACCTTCGCATTCAACTCATCCACAATAAAGTGGCAGAGAGCAGCTTTAAAAAAATACTCTTTTGCACTGTACTTGAGCAAAGGATTATCCATGGTATTTGTTCCAACCTAGACATAAAAAGTTAGAGTGACCGTCAGGTTATATTACATCTTTTCTTTGCAAGAACTAAAAACCCCCAGGTGATCAAAATGACATACAACAGCTCACACACGTTTAACAGACAGGATTAAAAACGTGCAACAAATACCAGATCCTAAGAAAAAGCAACAGCTCCAACGGGTTTCATCGAGTACAACAAAATTCCAACGTGAAACAAATCAGTACCAAATATTTCTATACATAAATCTAAGGGATTTACCCGGCCTTGCTTGGGTCCTTAACTCAAATAAGTTTTGTTTTCCTTCATTTAAATCATTGCTCTGGGCTGGGGATAAGGGGTTCAGTTTGAAGGCTGCCCAGGGACAGAGGGCAACCCCAGCCCTCTCTCACCGCAGCAGCATGGGGCCAAGTGAGACGCGCCTGTCCATTGCCACGGCAGCAGGCACCCCCGAGGGAGGAGTGCATGTCCCCCAGCTGGGGGGACAGACACAGACGTACGAACAGTCAAACGCTCTCAAATATATAGTAAATAGCTGTCTCTTTCTCCACCCCGGCCCCCTGCTGGCCCAATGGGGTTATAGCTGTCCCAGTCCCCATCTCTGGCCCCTTGCTGCCCCCCTGTGGTCACTACACAATATAACCATCCCTGCTAGCAGAGCCCTGCCTTTCCATGTTATGAGAAACAATTGCATTCCAGGCGCATCCCATTGTCCTGGCACAACCAAACCCCGATCTTGCTTTAAGTTGTAAGAGGAAGCTGCCTACCAAATTTGGTGGCCCAGCTCTTCCTATTTAGGAGGAGTTCTTGATCAGACAGATTCACAGACAGACGTATGAATGCGCACGCACGCACCTCTCCATCAGGTTTATACTTAAAAGGCTACAATATTTAGAACCACCACTGCCTGGAACAGAAGTGATTCTTTTTGTTCCTTCAGGGCTCAGTCCCGTATGCTGCTGTGCACGCTCCCTCCCTGACCCAGCAAGCACTTACACACGTATTTAGCTTTAAGCACACCCAGTCCCCCTACAGCCAGTGGGACTGTCCATGCTCTGAAGGGAGTTAATGAACTAGGAACAAAGTGCTCAGCGCTTTGCAGAGCTGAGCCCTCAACGGAAGAGACGCGAGACTGCACAAGTCGGATTTTAAAACACAGCATTGATGCTGGAGAAAAACTCACGTGTTCTCCTGCTAAGTCAGGAGTAGGGAACCTTTTCTGGGTCGGGGGCTGCACACAAGTGAGAAGCAAAAAACAAACAAAAAAACCCCTCACTGATGTGGCCCCTGACAGAGAAGGCACCCCCCACTTTCCCCTCACGCATCAGAGCCTGGGGGGGCCGGGCTAGTACATTGTGTGCTCCAGCTCCCTGGGGGGACAGCGAGGAACTACAGTGCCAGCGCAGGCACCCCACTGCTGGAAGGGGGCAGCGTCGGGGGCCAGATCCAGGCAATCCAGGGGCTGCATTCGGCCTCTGGGACTCAGGTTCCCCACCCTTGCCTTAAGTGGTATTATGTAAACTAGGGATGTTACTGTGTACCCGTTTACATGATTAACCGATGAGCTTAGGCTCATCGGTTAATCCTAACTGTTACACACACACCCCCCCCCTTGCTGCCTCTGTATCAGAGGCAGCAAGGTAGGAGGCAGGGGCCTGTTCCTGCAGAGCCCCCTCCCCCCCGCCCCCCCGCCTGCCACAGAGGCAGCAGCGTGGGGGGCAGGCAGGAGTCTGTGCTCGGGGCTTCGAGAGAGAGGCAGCAGCACAGGGGGTGGAAGGGCCGGCAGGAGCCGGTACACATAGGAAGCCAGCTTTCAAGGAGCTGCCTGCCCCCCGTGCTGCTGTTGGGGGACAGGTGGGAGCTGTATGCACAGAGGCAGCAGGCGGGAGCTGGTGCTTGGGGGGACCCGACTCCCACCTGCCCCCTGCCTGTAAACGTGTAACTGCTAAAAAATTCAATGGCTACATGTTTACAAAAAGAAACCATCTGTTAACATCTCTGGCGTGAACTGCACTTTGTCTCCGCTCTGCTGGCAACCTTAGAATCTCTTACAGAGCAGAATGGTACAGGCAAAGGTAGGGATGTTACACAGCGGTTAATCGAGCAGTCAATGAACCTCATGAATTCTTACTGGTTACTCGACTATTCTATAGTCCCCGGGGGCAGGGACTTTTGAGGAGCCTCCTGCCACTCTGCACTGCTGCCTCTGTATCAGAGGCAGCAGCGTGAGGTGCCAGGCAGGAGCTGATTACAGAGCAGAATGGTACAGGCAAAGGTAGGGATGTTACACAGCGGTTAATCGAGCAGTCAATGAACCTCATGAATTCTTACTGGTTACTCGACTATTCTATAGTCCCCGGGGGCAGGGACTTTTGAGGAGCCTCCTGCCACTCTGCACTGCTGCCTCTGTATCAGAGGCAGCAGCGTGAGGTGCCAGGCAGGAGCTGATCTGCGAGGGGAACTCCCCTCAAGGGGGGGCCTGCCTGTCACCCCACGCTGCTGCCTCTGATATAGAGGCAGCAGCATGGGGTGGCAGCATCCCCTGTCCAGACAAGGGGGGAAGGTCTGAGCTCCCAGACCCAGTGCAAGCCAGGACTGAGCTGGGGGGCCTGCCCGCTCGGCTCCTAATACACTTTAAATGCAGAGCCTCAGCAGGGATAGGTCCCAGGACTGAGCCGGGCTGCTAAAAAAAACTTATTGGCAAGCAGGGGGGAAGAAATGTGTATAGTCTATAGCATTACCTATGTGCTTTTGCTTATCAGTTAATTGACTAACACTATTACATCCCTAGGCAAGGGGAATCCACACCAGGTCTGTCTGGCATTGCAAGCGGATGTTCTGGAGCATGGTACATGGCGCCAAACAGACACAGCGGCCAAATCATGGCTCCTTGCACAGCCTCGGGGAAGAGAATGGAGAGTGAAAGGCGCTGCAGGTGGAGGGCTGCAGCTGTGGACTGCAGGGCTGGAGAGGCGTCTGTGCTGCCAGCAATATCCCAGAGCCCCAAAGGGCCACGACCGGAACAGGAAGAGAATGGCTGTGGCTCTCCGCTGCTTAAGTGCAGGGGAGCGCAAAACTGCAGAGCAAGTGCAGGAGCGGTCACTAGACAGCCTACATCCCCCAGCACCCTGGAGGCGTGGTGTCTGCTGCTCTTCCATGGGGCAAGCATCCGACTGCCAGCTAACCCAACACTACAACCGTTTGCTTCCCCGCAGCTTAACATGTTAGGTCTGATTCAGCAGGCTGCAGGGAGCCCTCCACTCCTAGGGAAGGCACCAGGAGCGGAAGATGCTGAGTAATTCCAGATCAGATGCCCACAGCATTCTGTTTAGTGTGCACAGCATCACACGTACAGCCTCTCTGTAAGCAGCTGTTTTTGCCGTTTGATGCAGACCAGAGAGCAGCGACAGGGTTCTGTGATATCCTGTACAAGTATTAGGCCCCTAAAAAATCCAAAAGCAAAGAGCTGATTTAAAATACTCCCAGCCAAAAATCTTCATTATGATACACTAGCTAAGCTTGCAAACAGGTATCAATGGAAACAGAAACAGGACATTCTTACAAAAGGTGAAGATATAAAAATACAAATTTGAAAGCCAGGAAGTTCACAGAGTAAGTTCCACAAACAACCTTAGCTGATCTCACACCAATGGTCATCCTCTAGCTACCTATCAATCTTTACATCTGGAAATTCTGAACACAAAGAATAATATGGTGGCAGCAAAATCTTCATTAAAATAATCCACTCAACTGCACTGGCGGCCAGCCAGTCTGCTAGGGATTGGCTCTAGCCATGCAATATCATTCCTAATTTCACAGTTTCTCTTGAATATTAATGCTATGCGCTAGATATCAATTAGGACTCAAGCACTAACAACATTTGAGATTCCAGCCCTAAGACTTTCGGGGGGGGAGAGGGAGGGGGAGAAAAAGACTTGGAAACACAAGGCACAATTAACTTTTGGAAAACTTTTCTAGCTCTCCAAGCTCATGTTGAAGTACATGACCAATCACAGGGAAACACATACAATTATATCAGACAGGGAAACACACATTTCCCCTCCTTCACTCCCTCACCAACTCAAGAAGTTACAGGCAGTCAAAACTAAGCTTATAAAGTTAGAATGTTAACCCTGGAACAACTCAGAAAAGTTGTTTTTGACAACATCTCCCAGAAATCTAAGCGGCAAGGTGAGTGAAGCCATTACTGGGAGATACTTGCAATTTTCAAGCTAACACAAAGCTCTTCAGGTGAGAACAGGAGCCATAATTATCGCCAGGTAAGAAATGCTCTGTGTAAGCTCAAAAGCTTGCTCCTCAGTCTCACCAGAAGCTGGTCCAATAAAATATATTTCTCCCCCCAGCTTATGTCTCAAGTATGGACCAACCAGGCTGCAACACCACGGCATGTATCGCCCTGTAGTGGCTCATCCGATTCGCAGCACAGTTTCGCAAAAAGAATTCTACTCTTGACCAAGTCCACGTGTGACATTTCACATCCAGTTCAGTTGTATGGAACGAGTAAAGTCTGTTTTATAATGGAAAGCTAGTTGCAGCCTCTACTACGGACAGAATGGGGATTCTTTCCACAGTGAGGGAAAGAAATTCTCTCTTTAGTCCACATTCCTGAGACCATGCAAGATTTAGGGCTTATCTATGCTGCCCCACAGTTTGGGCTACAGGGTTGGAGACAGCAGTGCACTCATGCAGTCCTAAGGGGCTATGTGTCCAGATTGGAGAGGAGCATTGCGTAACCCACACACCTAAGCTATGTCTACACTGGCGGGTTGTTGCGCCAGAAGTATGCAAATTAGGCTAAGCGTGGAATATCGCTGAGCCTCATTTGCATATCTAATGAGCCGCCATTTTGCAGAAGAGGCTCTTGCGCCAGAAGGAGCTGTCCACACTGCCCCTTCTTGTGCAAGAAAACCCCTCTTGCGCAATGCTGCTACGCTGATTATTTTCAGGAATAATGGCACGAGATAAGACCAAGAGATCTCTACAGCATGGACTGGGAGCCAGCTGGCTTTTAGCTCAGAGGGTAAAGGCTCCTATATTAAGCTCTAGAGGTCCCAGGTTCAAATCCGCCCGGTGGCAGTTACTCAGCACTTTGGCTATTCACAGCCCCATCACCCAAACAGCAGGGCCATGTAGACAAACCCATAGCATTCTGGCTTCAGTGCCCACGGATCCTGACCCAGAGCAGCATACAAGGCACTTATGTGACTTACACATTTTATAACTAGCCAATAGCCCGTCATAAGACAGGATTTTGCAAGGAACATGGAAATCATAAGACGGGTGTGTCTTGGTGGGGATCAAGTGTCTCCCTGCCCTACTTCTTTGCCCTGCCCTCGGGTTTCTCCTCCACGTCCTATTCCCTTTCTATCTCAATCTTCCCTCTTAAGCCTCCGGTCTCTCGCTACATGTCTCTCTCTTTCTCTCTCTCCTTTTCTTCTCCTACTGCCTCCCCCTCTCTCAGCTCTCCTCCGCCTCCTGCCTCTCTCTCCATCTCTCTCTTTCTCTTCTCCTCCTGCTTTTCTCTCTCTCCTCCTCCTCCTCCTCCCCCCCATCCATGTACGTTACTGCCCCGCCCCCGCCTCCGCCCCTTCGCCTCCCACCGTGGCACTTGGCTGACTTCTGCGCGGCTCAGCCGGGCCGTCGCGTGGGAGCAAGCAGCACAAACAGCCGTTTGGGCTCTGCGGTCCCCATGCAGCATGAGGGTCGGTGCCGCTTGAGTGTGGGGTGGATTGTCCTCGCCGCCACAGAGTGATCCTGCCCTGTCACACGGTGCTCAGTGCTCCGCTCCGTCTACTGATCACTGCAGCAACGCCGCTCAGAGGCAAGAGAGAACATGACAGCGTTACAGAGGCACAGGCGCCGCTCAGAGGCAAGAGAGAACATGACAGCGTTACAGAGGCATTACAGCGTGACAGAGCCACAGACATTGGCCTTTTATATATATGATAAGAGTGTATGTACTAACCTGCTCGTAGATTTCTATTGCCTTCTGGTACTGCTCCAGCTGAGCAGCATATGCAGCCACCTTCAGCAGGCACCTGTTAGCTGAACTAGAATCAAGAACTTCAGTTAAAGTAAATAACAGCACAGTACCTAGTGGTCAATGTGTCAATTTTCCTACTTCTCTACTAGATACGCCCATTAGTTAATGCATAGCCCAGTAGCCACCTATAAACAATTATATTAAAAATACCAAAATTATTAAAGTACCAAGGTCCAATGAATCTTAAAGCTTTCTGCAAATCTACAGGAAATTCCCTTTCCAGTGACCTATGGGATGATATTCAGCCCCAAAGAGCCTAAGGAGCACGTGCATTAAACATTCCATGGCGTGCGGAAGTCAAGCCTTAAAATCTAAACCAAGGCAGAAACCCGTTTTCACGTGCAAGCACCTTAACAGGACTCTGAGTATTCAAATTGAGATATCTAGACTGACAGGCCAGTAGGGTGAAAGCCAATTTCATGTACCTAAGTGACCATCTCAGCATATTAATGCAGTATCTGGACATCCCATTAAAGACTCCACAAATTAGAAGAGGCGTATAATACTTGAATATCTTAGTATAGAGAAGACAAAAAGTATAATTCCAGACTGTAAATCTTCCGTATTTAAAATAACTCTCCTATGACAAAGACTTGCCTGTTAGATTCTTCTCCTTTGTAGTAATCTGCCGCTTGCTCGTAATGTGCAATTGCCTAAAAGACAGACGCAAACATTTCTCTTGCAACATGTTACTTTTGAGACGAGATTTTTGGTGAAGACCATTATTTACCAAGCTTAGAATTTTTAAAATAATTCCTCGGGTGGTTTTAAAGGGACAGCATGACATTCAATTGCTACTGTCCCATAGGAGTATTCGAATATTCAAACACTGCAACCCATCTCGAACGACCTCGGAGTAAGAGTTTTACAACTGGACTACTGACTATAGCTCTTATTACTGTACATAAACCCACTGAAATCACACAGCAAGCTTTGCAGACAGTCTGGAGAAGGAAAAAATGGAGAAGGGAAAGGCCCAGGAGTCCCAGCAGGAAAAGGAGAGAGAGAAATGCCCCAGGACATAAGGAGGCGTCTGTGTCAAAGAGCACAGATGCTGCATATTCTTGTGCACCTACACAACAATCACGGGTAAAACTCCATAGCAGCATCCACCCTCAACATTGCATGTGACATCAGGGACTACCACTCCAGCCCCTTACCACCCCACCCCAAGAGACATTAAGGAAAACCAGAGCTTCACATACACTGACCTGTGAAAGCCACAGTTGCTGCATGTGTAGCTAAAATGGACATGAATATTCTTTCCTCTTGAAAAGATATATTCTATTAATTCATGATGTTTTTATGGTCTGCTTTTAAATGGCATAGATACTTATTTTCACTGATTGTCACTGCATAAAAATTCTATTCTTTGGGAAATAATGCATCTTTATTAGCTCACGACACACGCTGCGGAATCCCTAGCCCTTCTGAAATCACTCGCTTGCTTGTCGCTGCACAGTGTGACAACTCACAGGATCAGTGAGCTCACAGGATCAGTAAGTGACAACTCACAGGATCAGTAAGTGAAATCATCTACAGGTTCAGCAAGTGCTGCAAAATTAACAGGCGCACTGACAATGTTCTAGTCATACGTTTACCGCCCCACCCCCAGCACCACAAAATTCCTAATAGGCCCCAAACCAGCAGGGCCACACAGAGCATAGGACACCGCAATGCATTACTGCCATAAAAGTGCTCTCCTGGAGCCTCTTGGAGTCATACCGCTGCAATGGGTTCTTTTACTAGCCCTTGTGTCTAGCTGTTTGAACTTAGCAGATGGCTTCTCTATCTCTGCCCTCCTCCCTAGCGGCAACTTTCCTCCCTTTGATTCACAAATATTGCGCAGGACACAGCGAGACGCTATCACCCCTGGGATATTTTTCTTACTGAGCTCCAACCTTGTGAGTCAACGATGCTAACGTCCCTTCAAGCTGCCAAAGACACATTCAGCATTCACCCTGCTCCTGGACAGCTGGTTGCTGAATCATTCCATGCTGTTGAGGATGGCTTCGTCGGGAAGCTCACATTTTGTCATGGATATTTTTAGTAAAAATCAGACCGGTCAAGGGCAATAAACAAAAATTCACAGGAGCCTGTGACGTGCCTGAATTTTTACTAAAAATATTCTTGATGAAATGCAGGAGGGTCCAGTACCCACAGTAAATGGAGGTCTTGGGGCTAAGAACTGCTGGGGGTCCACCAGCAGCAGCTGAAAGCTGCAAGGCTGCCTGCTGATGGGGGCAGAAAACGTCACAGAGGCCTCAGGAAGTCATGGATTCTGTGACTTCCATAACATAATTATAGCCTTAGCCTACCGTTTGCTCACGAATAAGTCCCCCCAAAACCACTACTGGCGTTTTAACACAGCCAAAGGTTATTGAGCCATCAGGGAAAAAAAAGTCCCTCCTTACAGCAAAGGCCTGTGTTTTGAAATATGTGACTGTCATGCATCCTCTCTGAGCAGCTCACATTGATATTGGTGAAGTCTCCCCAGTGATCCACTAATGTTTGCATCACCACACAAAAGTAACCCTTGTGTTCATGCGCTCCATGGCAAGGTGGTTTGCTGCTAAAATAAAGATACAAGGGCCATTTATTGCTTCTCCGTAGTTCAGGAACCTCAGTGCTGCAAATCCATCCACTATGTCCTAAGCATCACAGTCCCATGCAGCAGTAAGTTAATGGCCCTGCACTGAGGCAAGCATTACCATCAGTTGCAGGACAACGGCCCCTGCTGCGCATTTTCCCCACTCCAAACTGATTTCCGGCTGGCCGGTACCAATCCGGCATTGCACGTTTTTACAACTGCGCTCACCACTCACTTCTCCACTGTCAGTGCAACTCTCAGTTTGGTGTTCTTGCACTGGAGGTCTGGGGCAAGCTGGGCACACAGCTCTAGGAACCTGGCCTTGCATGACCAAAAGTTCTGCTGCTGCTGCATGTCTTTCTAAGCCTGCATTTCGATGCAACCCCACCATGAAGCGATCATGTCTTGGGCCCAGAAGTAGCTCTCCACCATCTGCAGCCGCTCTGTGAACCCTTGTCTTGGCATTTGCTATGTCCCACAGCAACCCATCCTCCCAGAAATATTGAATGAGTGCCCACGCAGGTTAAAATGTGCTCCTACAGGCTCGTGCATTACCATTTCTGAGATCCCAGTGTGTCCATTTAACCTGTGTCGAGAGACTGACCTGGGCACTCATTAATAGATGTAAAATAGGGCTGTCAAGCAATTAAAAAATTTAATCGCGATTTATCGCGCGATTAAGAAATGTAACAGTGATTTATCGCATGCACCTCCCCTTTGAAACACCAGGGCGGCATTTCAACAGGGCCAGGCTGCATGGAGCCTGGGATCAGCTGGGGACTCCAGCTGATCCCCAGCTCCACTGTTGCAAAGCCCCTTTGAAGCGCCGGAGTAGCACTTCCAAGGGGCTCCACTTGGGCTGCCCCTTTGAAGTGCCAAAACGGGACTTCAAAGGGGCAGTGCAGCATTAACACCCGCAATTAACGCGTTACAAAGATTAACACGTTAATCCTGTCCTACATTAATCGCAGGCGTTAACGCAGGTCAATTTAAAATACCTACTCGGGCACTCATTAATGGATTCAAAAGTAGCCATTCTTTTACAAAGGAATTTCAGGAACCAACTACAGAGAGAAACTGAGGAACTGACTTTCATTTGCAAATCTGACACGGTCTCTTAGGGACTGAACAAAGACTGAACTGGATAGACCGTTATATTCAACACCCAAATAACATCCACAGCTCACTCAGTCTCATTTAGCTATGGCACTACTATTGACAGAGTTTCTCTCTCCCCCCGCCCCTTCTTTTCTGCTTTAAATTGTGAGGTTTTTTCCTATTTTTTTCCACTCATCTGAAGAAGTGGGTTTTGCCCATACAAGTTCATGATACAGTAAAACTCCAATAGTCCAGCATCCAATTGTACGGCACTCCCGATAGTCCGGCATCAAAATGGCAAGAGCCTAGTGAGTGAGCTTCGGCAAAAAAACGAGTCACAAGAAAGCAGCTGAACTGAGCGAAACCGGACGGGACCGAGTCAGTCTGCCACTGGCATTGTGACACGCTGGACAGTGCTTGTGCTACGATAAAAAGGGTTAAAACACTTTATATATAACCATCTTATAGTACCTCCTGATAGTCCGATAATCCGGCACCACCTAGGTCCCAAAGGTTCCAGATTATCGGAAGTCTACTTTACTATCTATATACTGTTAGTCTCTAAAGTGCTACAGGACTACTTGTATTTTCACCTCACAAGTTACCCACATCAGCAAGATTGGAAAGAAGCCCACAGACAGTACGGCCCTAGGAGAGCCTGATTCACGAAGTTCGCTAGACTAGCACAGTGAAGTTTCATAATCACACAGTTCTGACCGCACAGTCACACACGTAATTACAATGAAAAGTTTCCTCAACTTACCTTTTCAATATCTACCAGCTCAGTCTCATAAACCTCTGCAATAGTGATGTGATGTTTGGCAGCAATAGTAAATCGACCCTAGGATGAACAATTAAAGAGAGACATACGGGTTTTTCCCCCCCTTTCTCCTTCAAGTATATGCATAATTTATAACTTTTAATGGAACTCTGATTTAATCAAACTCATGTTACAACAAGAGGCATCAATCTAAGCTGACACACATTGGATACCAACCCCATCTCCTCAAGGTGATACATTTCTTACCAAGTCTGTGTAAATATCGATGGCTGCATTTAAGCAGATCATAGCCTCTGTAGCGTAAGCATTCAGGAAAAACAACGGGAAAAAAAATCAGCTGAGACATGCAGGCATTGTTCAACTTTCATCAAAATAAGGCAGTATTTCTGCTGTGTGTCTGTTCTGATCAGAAACTTGAATGTCATTCTCCTCAAACAACCAGCTGACCAGCCTCTGAAACTGAGACGTACATTTTAATGCCTCAAGTTTTACACAGGCAAAACCCTCTGAGGTGTGTGCTTTAAAGGTGCATTTGTACTTGCAAATCTAGTAAACACGTAATGCCAAATCCCATGGAGAAATGCACATCCTAAGTACAAACGGATTTTTCCCGAGCCAAAATTTTGCCTCTGAGAAGGAACACATGCAAAAACTAGCATGTGCAAAAAACCAGTATCCCAGTCTCTTAGTTTGCTTTGAAAATTTTGTCCAGGAGAAGCAAGTTTTTAGTGTACTCAAACACAGGGGTCGGCAGCCTATGGCTCAAGAGACAAATAGGATTCACTAGGGAGCCAGATATGGCTCTTTTGAAGCTTAAGCCCAGCTCCCACCTGCCCCGCAGCAGGAAGCCTGCGCTGTGGCTACAGGAGGCCTGGGCAAAACACCCTCCACAGGCTGGATCTGGCCCACGGACACAGCAGAGAGCCCTCAGAAAAGTGGTGTGGGGGGGCCCTTTGTGTGGTGGGGAAAGTGTGTATGTGGGGGGGAAGATAGAGCATGTTGCACGTGCCGCATCACCGACTTGCTCGATCATGTGATGGCGTCAAAATGGTGGCGCCCGGGTCGCCCTTCCGCGGATCGTTATTGCTGACGCGCCACCCTGGACAGGCTACGCAGAGAGAGAGTAACGCACACAGGGCAGGTTGATGAAGAAAATGACTACAGGAAGGTTCGATTTCTTGCATGGCAGGAGGTGAACGAGAACTCTGCAACTGACTAAAGAGCAGAGCAGCCTGTGAATCAAGTTGAAAATGGAGTGGTATCGTGGGAGGAGCTCTGGGACATCCGGGAGCGTACGTAAATGTGAACGAAGATACAAAAAATGGGAACCTATGGTTACTGCAGACTTCAGTTTCAACAGCAACATCTCCACTGAAAAGTCATCCCTTCATGCCTCACAGAATTCGGACAGGAGTTCGGTGTTAAAATATTAACAATAAACAACAAGTAGAAGCTCAAAAAAACCCCCACAAAAACCTGTGAGCTCGGAAGGGAGGAAGGAGCGGTGTTTCATGGCTGCTCCAACCCCCAGCACAATCCCACGGGCCAATGACTGGCGTGTGAAACACCAATCCCCTCTCCCCTCACACAGCACAAGGCCCTGAAGCTTGTGCGGGGATGGGGATGGGACAGGCTCCTGAGAAACGTGCTGGGCTGGAGTCTCGCTGGTAAGTCTCCTGGCCAAAGCCTGTCTCTGACACCTCTGCCAGCAGCCCTCTGTCCCCCTACTCCATATAACCCAAACCCTCTGCCCCTCCTGAGCCCATATCCCATCCTAGATCCTGCACCCCAATCTCCCGCCCCAGATCACAACTCTCTCCTGCCCTAGGTCACAACCCAAACTGCACCCCAATCCTGTGCCTCAGGTCACAACTGCCTCCTTCACCCAAACTCAGAGGTCCCCACCCCTGCCATATATAAAGATTATGTTGAAACCTTTTGTGCTGAACATAATATTTTACTTTATTTAAAAATGAAGCCTGGCCAACAAGCCCCCAATCATAATACTTCTGCACTGCCCCCACGCACCTCCGAGCCTATAATACACCTGAACCCTCTGCCCTGAGCCCCTCATATCCCTACATCCCCAGTCCCCTGCCATAACACTCCTGCACCCCACACACACCCCAACCCTGTGCCTTGAGCCCCTCATACATCCCAACCAAGACTCCTGAACCCCTACATCCCCAGACCTCTGCCTTAAGATTGACAGAAGACAGCCTGAATGGGTGCTTGAAGCTGGATTTGACTAGTTAGGACGTAAACTTCAAAGAAATGCGTGAAAAGATGCAGTAGCATAAGTCCCATTGAAGAGAGTCTGTGAGTACAATGATTCACGTGTGCTATTATTAATCATCATGCCAATTATCAATACTCTTAAGTTGCATATTTTCAGTCACGCAAATGGGCATTTTTATACAGCTCTAAATGTTGGGTAGTTTGGCTCTTTGGCTTGAAAAGGTTGCCGACCCCTGCTCAAATACCTAGTGACTGCACAGGAATTTTGTCAATATCCCCGAGAACAGAGGAATGGCCATACTAATTCAAACCAACTATCCATCTGGTCCAGTATCCTGTCTTCTGACAGCAGCCAGTGCCAGATGCTTCCGAGGGAATGAAAAAAACAAGGCAATTAGTGAATGATCCATTTCATTGTACACCCCCAGCTTCCAGCAGTCAGAGGCCTAAGGACACCTAGGGTATGTCTACACTGCCACCCTAGTTCAAACTAGGGTGGCTAATATAGTCATTCGAACTCGCTAATGAAGCCCGGGATTTAAATATCCCGGGCTTTATTTGCATGTTCCCATGCGCCGCCATTTTTAAATGCCCCGTAGTTCAAACTACCTGCCCGCGGCTGTAGTAAGTTGAGGGTCAGTACCATGGAGTCAGCAGGCCTAAATAGAGGCCTGTAACATGAAAACAGCAACAGGCCTTGCAATCTAGTGAGCAAGACTTTAGTTCAGTAACAGGAGCCAAGAAAGAGTCCGTACTGATAACTTCCTTATGTTTGTTTTAACTATGTTTGTTTCTTCACTAGCTTCACACCCTTCAAGATTTTATAGATCTCTGTTACTTAATGAAGCACACTTCATGCTGGGACTGAGTATTTCTGCCATAATTCTAAATCCTACTGGGTGAGAAACAGACACGGTTCCAAATTTTGCTCAGTTACAGCAGGGTAAATGCAGAGTAATTCTGTTGAAGCTACTGGATTTACTACAGAGCTACGTCTACACTGGCACCCTTTTCCGGAAATGCTTAAAACGGAACAGTTTTCCATTATAAGTATTTCCGGAAAAAGCGCATCTACATTGGCAGGATGCTTTTCCGGAAAAGCACTTTTCCGGAAAAGCGTCTGTGGCCAATCTAGAAACGCTTTTCCGCAAAAAAGCCCCTATCGTCATTTTCGCGATCGGGGCTTTTTTGCAGAAAACACTACTGTGCTGTCTACACTGGCCCTTTTCCGGAACAGTTTTCCGGAAAAAGGACTTTTGCCCGAACGGGAGCAGCATAGTATTTCCAGAAAAGCGGCTGATTTCTTACAGTAGATCGTCAGTGCTTTTCCCGAAATTCAAGGGGCCAGTGTAGACAGCTGGCAAGTTATTCCGGAAAAGCGACTGATTTTCCGGAATAAGTGGCCAGTGTAGACACAGCCCAGTTGTGTACAGATTTAAACAGAACAAAATCTGGTTTACAATTGACACCGACAGAGACAAAACAAGAATTACTTCTTTAGACCTGCAAATCCCAAAACACAAAACTGGATGAAACCAGACCTTTATGACCAATCTTATTTCAATAGGGCTTGTGAAAAAAACTTAATCAGACTGCTTCAACCCAGGACAGCTATAATAAATTTAGCATTATTTGCAGAATATGAATGAACAAAAAGGGCCTTAAGCAAACTTTTTTGTTTCACTATGAAAAGCTCACACTCCAAGACCATACTTTAAAAATGTTTTATCAAATACTACACAGAAGATCGTAAATCAAATACCAGCAACTTACTACGCGCCAAGCAGGCTTTGTATATTATTGTATTATATGTCATTTGCCTTACCTTGTGGATCTGCCTTTTTATAAGCATTCCCAGCATCCACAAAACTGATGGCTGCATCGTGTTTACTCTGTAGTTGCATATGGAGCTTGGCTGCCTGACAAAACGCATTTCCTGCAGCTAGGAAAGAAATACAATGAAAAAGATTAACATTTCTAGTCTAATTTAATAAGCATGAATTTATAGCAGTGGCTACAGAAATGTCAATGGAGCTATAAAATTATAATTTTGAGAGATGCACCCTGATGTACAAACCAAAAACTCTGCATTTGTATGCAAAGATAAGGCCATCACGCTGAGGAACATGCAAGTGCATATTGCAACGTAGGAGCCCCGCTGAAAATTTAAGGTCACATTTTCAAAGACAGCTTTCATTCTGCAGGTACAATTTGTACCTACAAAATCTGTGCCCTCACCTTTACGTCTGAAATGGGATTCAACTCTGAATACCTCGCCTCTACCAGATTTGCAAGTGCACTCAGATAGTCAGAGGTGGATGATAAAGAGGTACGTTAACTTGCTATGGCAATTATTTCTGCTAGTGTCAAACAGCAGATGGAAATCGCACCTAAGAATTGGGAGGCTCAGATCTATCCCTTTTTGAAATTTTTAGTTCCTGAAACTTGGCGGCAAATAAAATCACTGCTTCTGTTACTATTTCTACCCTATTCTAATACTGAGAAAGTCACATACTCAGAGTGAACTACTCAATAGTGTACATGCATTTAGCAGGAGATCATCCAAACACCACAAGGGACAGCTAGATACACTGCTCCCTCCCAGTGGGACTTGGCACCTCCTTCTGGTTTGAAAGTCTCCCCCTTTGCTCCTATGCTGATGGCACATCCAAGCAGGAGTTAGAGAGACGCAAATGGAAAGCCTGGGAAGAAGCAAGCAATTTTTTTTTCCAGTTCCTCATCTCCCATTTGTTAAAGAAAAACTGGTGCTATTGTGCCCCGCGTAAACAAAGTTTTCATTTCTTTTATGTGAAAGCCTGAAGAGATGCCAGCGTCTCAAATCCCCTGATAATTCTGTGCACTGATGTTCATGTTTATCTTGGGAAACTTATATTTGCATCAACTTTTCCCATGGCCATCAAATATGGCACAGCATTTCAAACACAGAGCTAGTAATAACCACTCCACGTGCTACACTTCCCCCCCAGCACAGCAGGGAACAGCTCTTCTCCTTGTGTACCTCTGCTATTCCTCCAGAATATTAGATCACTTGCCAGTCTTTGACCTTGGAAAAAGCATGTTTACAAATCTTAAAAACAAATCAAATAGTCAAACAGGAAAGAACCCCAAGAGCAACTTCTTTGTAGGTATCAAGCTTTAATTATTTTTAAATGAAAATGTGCACTTGGACACTGGCTAGTTAACTCAATACTGTAACGACTCTGGACCCCTCCCAGTTCATTCCAGAGAATACTATGGGGGGTTGACAGTGTACATAAATCGCACAGCCATCGTCACTAGTCCCATGGAAACACCCTGCCAAATGGGACTGCACTTAGATCATTTGCAACAGGATATTGGAGCAGTCACAGGACACTAAGCTGTTTGAAAGGTTCTGAACCAGTTATTCAAGCATTCAGCTGGGCAGAAAGGTTTCCTTTCTTCAATTTTTGTGAATTTTGCTGGCTCTGGGTGACTTACGGCACTTCCTCTTCCCAACCCAAAATAGGCAAGATACAAAGCACAAGTGGAGATGTAAAAACCAAAGGCTGCCCCCTTGTTTTCCCTGATGCACAGATTCCCCACCCCCAACTCTCCACCAAGGCTTTTAATTTGCTTCCTTGCATGTAGAATCATAGAAGCATAGGGTTAGTCTATGTCTAGTCTAACCAGCTTTGTTGTCTAAACCATCCAAGGCAGAGGGCTGTCCAGCCTCCTTCCAAAACCCTCCAGTGAAGAAGCTTCCACAGCCTCCCTAGATGTCCCACTGTTAGGGAAGTAGCTGCTTAGTTGGTGTTTGACCTTTATCTGAAAGATGAATCTCAAGCTTTAAGCCTTTCCTACAATTAACCTTATAAATGAAACAAACTACTCACCATTCCAGTTTTTGGCGATCTTGAACAAGTTTGCAGCCCTGGTGTACATTTCACAGGCTTCTTCCACCTTTGAGTTACCTCTGGAGAAGCCCAAAAAAGTGCAAGTCACTCAATTACAATGTGCAGGCACGGCAATGAAATATCGTCATTTGGGTGTGAGCTAAACCCAAACCGGAGTTTTGGATTTTGTGTTCTTGTCTCATGCAAAGTTACAACTCCATAAAATGTACCATTTCCACTACAAATACTCAAGTGCAAGAGTTTCAGATTTTCCTTTCTCAAGGGCTGGTGTGAATAAAAACCGGATTAGTAGCAGAGGCACATAAAGCAGGACTGGGAAGGTCTAAGACAAGCCCAGATCCTCAAAGTATTTAGGCAGCTAACTCCAACTTCTGGGCCTCACTTGCATTAAATTCAAGCTAGTGCTTGCAGCATTTTTCCTCCCCAGCATTTACCTAGTTGTAAACATCATCATCAGAGTGGAAGTTTTCACTCCAAAGAAAAAACAGCCAGAGGTCGGAATCACTGCCGTTGATAAATAAAACAAGGACAACAGCGAACAACAAATCGCACTGCTGTACTGGCTGGAGGGGCGACCCTGGGACCAAGAGTGTATGGTCATGGCTGGAGGGGTTGCTGGAACCAGTGATAAAGGCCTGACAGGAGGAGGCAGGTTAGAACTGGCAACTGGGCCATGTTGGGAGTCTCACGCTGCAACTGCATTCTGCCTGTTCCCCTCTGGAGCTGCTGTAGTAGAGGCACAGGGTGTAGCTGTGATAGACCAGGGGTGGTCAATAATTTTTGGTGGGGGGCCACTCCAAGATCTTGGAAAGCGGTCAAGGGCCGTACTTTTCTGTGGAGATGCAGGGTCTAGGATGGAGGCTGGGTGCAGAAGGGCGCATGAGGTAAAGACCTGGGGTGCAGGAGACGGTCTGAGAGGGAGTTTGGATGAAGGAGAGGGTTGTGACCTGGGTCAGTGGATTGGGGTGTAGGGTCAGGAAAGGGGTATGGGTGCAGGAGAGGACTCTGGCCTGGGGGAGGGACTCTAGGAGGAGGTGCAAAGTCTGGGAGGGAATTGTGACCTAGAAGGGAAAAAGGGGGTGCAGACTACAGAGGGTTTGGGTGGTGACCCGGGGCAGGGGAATGGGGTGCACGGTCTGGGAGGGTGTTTGGGTGCAGGAGAGGATTCTGGCCTGGGGGAGGGGTGTAGGAGAGGATACAGGGTTTGGGAGGGAATTGTGACATGGGGCAGAGGGGTGCAGAGGGTTTGGATGGTGACCTGGGGAGGGAATTGGGGTGCAGGAGGGGCTCAGGTGCCAGAGACAGGCTTTGGCTGGGAGGTGCTTTCTAAGTGTCTCCTGGCCAGCAGCCCTGCAGCACTCCCAAGGTAGGCTGGGCTCCCTACTTGCTGTAGCCCCAGATCACTTTAAACTGCAGGCTGCTCCCTGCATGTGGCTCTCAGCTCCGGGCGGGGGAAGAGACTTGCACGGCCCCCATCCCCAAGGCCAATCTCTTAGCTCCTATTGACTGGTTGTTTCCAGCCAATAGGAGCTGAGAGATTAGCTAGGGTCAGTTCCTAGAGGCTGGTTGTTTCAGCCAATAGGAGCTGAGAGATTGGGCTGGGGGCAGGAATATCACAACGCCTCCCCCTCCCTGAAAAGCAAAGAGCCACACAGACAGCGCTTTAAACCGCAGCAGCTGAGTCTGAGGGTCCTGCAGGGTGGTCTGTGGCCCGGATCCGGTGGCTGCCATATTTTGCCCAGCCCTACGCTAGACACCACTGCCAGAGGAGCTGAGTGAGCCAAGTGGATGCCTTTGTCCAGGGGAGAGGAACTATCTTGGGAGCAGAAGCAATGAAATTTTCTCTATGCAGAACTGAAGAAAAATTGAACAGAGGAAGTATCTTCTGGCTTTAACCTTCCTTTAGGGTTCTCTGCCAACTTTGGAACTGGGGCAGGAAGACAGCTGCTGTGCGTGGTGAAGCCAAGCACCCTTGAAAGGAAGAATGTAGAAAACCACGATTAAATCAAGTCTTCCTGACTAGTGATTTAAATCAATCTGACTTAAATCAAACCCACTCTGGGCTAAAGTGATCCTTGGATACACCAACGGGAAATTTTGACTGGAGTAAAGAGGTTATTTTGCCTCTGCATTTGATTTAAATCACGAGTTAGGAAGACTCAATTTAATCATGGTTTTCTACATAAAAGTGCATTCTTGTCGGCTGTTATAACCTTTGTACATATTCTTCACAACTCAGAGACAGATGTAAGTTTCGTTTTTAGAAGGTACATACTATACAGTTTTAAACAGTAACGTATTTTGAAAACTTTTCAGATTAGTTTAACATCAACAACGGAAAATGAATGATTAGTTTGAATTATTCAAGGTAAATGAAGCAGATATTTATGAAAATATTGGGAGGTGAACCATCTCCAATTCAACAGGTTAATCATTAATATTTGGAGCATTTTTTCGTCATGCTGTATTAAGAGGAGAACATCGCCAGAATTGTTTTATTTAACTAAAACAACAATTCTGAGGGGTTTTTTCAACTGCCAATGTACAACATTTTAACATAAGTTTTAACAAGTTTTGAACTTAGTTATACATTCAAGATTTTCAAAATCAGGTTTATTTTTGATAGATTTTTTTAAACTGAAATATGGAGTGACTATGTACGCACAATTGCAGAGGGACAATAGGATTGAGGTCTGTTATTTCTCACCTCTCTATATTATTTATTTATTTTAAAACATTTTCGCTGTTAACAACCAGGTTAGAACATAAGAATATAAGAATGGCCATACTGAGTCAGACCAAAGGTCCATCTAGCCCAGTGTCCTGTCCTCCGATAGTGGCCAGCACCAGGTGCCCCACAGGGGGTGGACTGAAGACAATGATCAAGCAATTTGTCTCCTGCCATCCCTCTCCAGCTTTTGACAAACAGAGGTCAGGGGCACAATTCCTTGCCCCCTGGCTAATAGCCTTTTATGGACCTAACCTCCATGAATTTATCTAGCTCTTTTTTAAACTCTGTTATAGTCCTAGCTTTCACAGCCTCCTCTGGCAAGGAGTTCCACAGGTTAACTGTGCGCAGTGTGAAGAACAACTTTATTTTATTAGTTTTAAACCTGCTACCCATTAATTTCATTTGGTGTCCTCTAGTTCTTATATTATGGGAATAAGTAAATAGCTTTTCTTTATTCGTCCCCTCCACTCTACTCATGATTTTATAGATCGCTATCATATCCTCCCTAAGTCTCCTCTTTTCTAAACTGAAAAGTCCCAATCTCTTTAGCCTCTCTGGAGACACAAATCCAGTTTGAGAATTGCAAAACTAAGCATCTCTGATGGTATCTTCTGGTGGTGTCCAACCAGTTCTGAAGCAGTAGCCACTATAGCCAGCGAATAGCCACCTGTGGCTAGCATGTTGGACCCCATGGTAGACTGTACACTGACTGCCACTGGGTAGATAGAAAGATTAACCTAAATAATCTATACAGAAGCCTCTGGAACCCCATAGGATTGGGTCCCTCATCCATGAACTATTGGCACTCATTTACAAAACTTTTCTTAAACATTACGGCTGTGTCTAGACTGGCCAGTTTTTCCAGAAAATCAGACAGACACTTTTCCGGAAAAACTTGCCAGCTGTCTACACTGGCCGCTTGAATTTCCGCAAAAGCACTGATGATCTCATGTAAGATTCTCAGTGTTCTTGCGGAAATACTATGCTGCTCCCGTTTGGGCAAAAGTCCTTTTGCGCAAAAGGCAATTGGGGCTTTTTTTGCGGAAAAGCGCGTCTAGATTGGCACAGACGCTTTTCCACAAAAAGTGCTTTTGTGGAAAAGCGTCCGTGCCAATCTAGACGCTCTGTTCCGAAAATGCTTTTAACGGTAAACTTTTCCGTTAAAAGCATTTCTGGAAAATCATGCCAGTCTAGACGTAGCCCACATGAATGTATTATCTCACACTCCAGCATTAGAATTTATAATCCCTATTCTATGGTGTGATATCTTTGAGCTATAATGTAACTGAATTAAAATTATCTTAAGTTTTATTAAAAAAAAAAATCCATTAAAAAGTTTTTTTAATAGTTTTTTATCCGCTCTGCGTTAGCCCTTTTGGCCACAGCATCGCATGGGGAGCTTGCAATCAGCTACTGAGTCATAACCCCCACCTCCAATATTTTTCAGAGTCATTCCTTCCAAGGATAGAATGTATGGCCTACAGCAGCGGTTGGCAACCTTTGAGAAATGGCCTGCCAAGATTTAACTTATTCACGGATGTGTGTGCTGGGGGGAGGAAGGAGCAGGGGCAGACTGGGTACGGTGACCATATTTTCTGAACCAGCAGCAGCTGGGGAGAACAGGTTCATTTAAATCATTACACAGATTAAGCGGTTTAACTCTCTCTCGTTAGTTTATCAAACTTCATTTTAAATAAAGTACAATATGATGTCCAACACAAAAGGCTTCCGTGTTTTCTTTATTTACAGCAGGGGTGGGGAACCTTTTTTGGGTCGGGGTCACTGACCCACAGGAAAATCAGTTGGGAACCACACACATGGTCAGCCTCCTCCAAAAAAACTCAACCCTCACTGATGTGGCCCCAACAGACACCTCACTCCTCTGGTGCTCCAGCCTCATGGGGCGAGGGGAAGGAACGGGGAGGACTGAGGTTCAGGGTTTCCCATAGGCCACATTGACTTTTCTAGGCTGCCGGAGCTACTGGATTTTATGGATCCCCTACGGCTCTAGGATAGGGACAAAAATGAGGGGTTCAGTGTGCAAGACAGGGCTGCCAGAGAGTGAGACAGAGATGGGGGGCAGAATCTGGAAGGGAGCTGGGGAGCAGAAGGGGGAAAGCTTGTGAGGTCTGGGTGAGAGGTAGGGTGCAGAAACAGGCTGGGAGTAGGATGTTTGGGCCAGCTGGAGGGAGCAGGCGCAAGGGAGGGTGCAGTGTGTGGCTAGGAGGGTGAGGGAGCAATGATGGATGCAGGAGCAGGATGTGGGGGGGGTGTCTGGCCATGAAGGCAGGAGCAGGAACGAGGGAGGGCATCAGAGCAAGCTGTGGG